TTAGGGTTTAGGGGTTTGGGTTTCCGTATATTGAGAAGTTGAAGGGTTAAGGGGTTTAGGATGGAAGCTTCACGTAAGTTCGATCGTGTTCGCGACGGGGTTTTGGCAGAGATCGATATTTTTTAAGGGTCCTTGGAAAAACATACTCGGGAAACGGAAGGCCTTCCCGCTAAACGAACGGTTTGTGAATCCCATTTGCTCATGCTTTGTTCTGTACATTTGGAGTCTTGGAAAATGGCAACTATAGGGTGTATCAAAGGCCCTTGCTAACGGGAAAGAGACGCAGTTCAGGATTTCAGCTGCATGAGTTCAAGGGATCGACAGATTGAGGTCGCCGGTTCAGAAATAAAAAAAATATAGTTTGCGGGTTTTTCGCTTTCGCGGCATCGCGGAGGTGCTTATGGAATAACGCCTGTTTGCTCGGATTGAAAGGGTGCAGGGTTACTCCTCACCCCTCAACAAAAGAAAGAACACACAATTCACAATTGTTCTAATTGTCAAGGCCCGTGAATGGTCTGGTTTCTGAGTTTGGCTTGTCCGGCAGGGTGTTGTTAGCAACGTCTTTCAAGGCGAGGATTCAACATTATCCAGGCCTTTTTGGGCCTGAATGTCGCTTGATCTATGTTCGTCCGGATTGTCGTAATTCCTTTTTACGTATCTGTATGATGCTACCGCTGTTTACATAGTAGTCTGATTTGGCGTCTGACTCCAAGTCTATGATACTGCACGGTTTGTTTTGGAGATTTGAGCGTTGGTCTCGGTGGATGATATTGCAAGCTTCATAGATCCCGATGTCGCTTGGATGAGAACGACCCCGAAAGGTGCCCCAAAGAGTCGCTGATCATTGTGATGAAGAACGTTTTTCATCAGGGGCTCTTCGGATTCGGTTAGTTAGGATTAGGTCGCGTGGCACTGCACCTGACGGAGGAATTCATGGCTTACAAATGGCCTTGTACCGCATTTGGCAGGTAGCAGACGACCGACCAAGTACTAGGTGATGCGCCTGTCCTTGCCACGTGTCCATCAACTGGGTCACGCGTACTATGCTTTGTGGATGAACGAGTGGGCATGCACACGGCATCGAAGAAATACAGACGGGGATCAAGGCTAGAGAGGCCTGTTAATATACCCCGGAACTAACTTCTAACTATCCAGGTTCTGATGTTAGACCGACAGTCTTGTTTTGAGTCGAGGCATGTCTGGTCACCTTTTCCAAATTTGGCTGCGTCAGATTACAAAAGCAGAAATACCCCTGCCAAACCGAATACACCACACCCCCCCGTACATGCGAAACCCAATACCCTGAACACTAGATTCCGACATTTCCTTAACTGCGGGTTTTCAATTAACCCTAGAGGCCCACGCACCTCACAATCATCTACTCTTTCAAACCAAATATCAACCTACAAAACTACTGTGCGAAACCTGCGTACCTACTTATGGGGGTCCTTTGGACTCCTTTAGGGTAAGTTTGCCAAACCCTAAACCCTAAACCCTGCATAAGCCAAAGTAGTTAGATACCTGGAAGAATGGGGTTGGCATGAAGCCGTCGCTCAACCCTGAATTGAGGTTACGGGTTTGGGTGTTTAGGGGTTTAGGGTTTTGGGTTTTGGGGTTTAGGGTTTGGGGTTTGGGGTTTAGGGTTTTGGGTTTTGGGGTTTAGGAATTAGCGGTGCAGCCTCATGCAGGCTCGACATAATGATCCAAAAGTAATTTCGATGGCTGAGCAGCTCTCTGGATTAGGGTGTTCTTTTGTGCTAGTTACAAGAGAGACGACGTAATCACGCTTCGGAACATTCTTCTGCTGGGGCCTAGGCCGGGAGCGGCCCGAGCAGTAAGCCAAACAGTGTTAAGGGTATCAGGCTCAAGTTTTAGAATACAGATCCAAACCCGAAGCCCCGCACCGGCCAATACCCCAAACCTTAAACCCAAACGGTAGAATGTAGTTGCTCGCCCGGAGGTTTTGGGTTTACCATTTCACCAAGGGAGGTCTGATAAGACTCGCCCAATGCCTGAATTCTGAGTCCTTTGATCCCTTTGCGGTCTTAGGTTGGCGATGCCTGTCTGCTGGTACTATGGTGGGGCACGGCAGATCAAGCGCGAATCTCCATCGAATTTACAGTTCCCGTACCTGACATAGACTCTTAACTCTCAACCCGAGCCCTGAAACAGTTTAGTGTCTAGGACTTCGACTCTAAACCCTAAAACAGTTTGGGGTCCAGGGCTCTCAACCGTATAGCCTAAAGCAGTTTAGGGTTTAGGGTTGACGCGGCCGGGACCTTCGGCCAAGCTGCAGTACCTATGCTTAGATGGCTTGTTGGATGCAGAGCTGCAGGTACCTTGTTAACTAAGACTAGACTCTACAAACCTGTTTCTGTAAAGGTGGGTGTAAATGATGTGTGTGTGTGTGTGTGCGCGTGCAAGTATGTTTGTAAGATTTTGTAGGTATGGATGGATGGATGCATGGATGGATGGAGGATGTGTGTATATGTACATCTACATACATGTGTATACATATATACATATTAGATAGATATACCATGAATAAGTCCAACCCTCCAAGCAAAGAGCGAGCTAAACCTGAATCCTGCGCCCCAAACCTGTAAGCCCTTGTCTCAATGCGGACTCAACGCCTATCGCCCGTCGTACCGCCCGCCTAGCTCAAGAGCTGTGAGCTCTTGGATTGCACGCTGGGTTCCGACTGGTCGAGTTGGATGCATGAGGAAGAGAGAGCGAACGTCTTTGGGCAGGTGGGCAAGAAAGGCAAGGAGCCTGACCTTCACGCAACTTCAACGAGTGTGTGCCCATAGTGGTGGAGAATGCCGAGGACGGTGCGCAACCAGCCGAGCTAGCTGCAGAAGAGGCACAGCTGAGGGCATGGAGGCTGAGGCCAAGATTGGCCAAGTGGAAGAGAAGGCCAGGGCGGCAGAGCAAAGGGCGTCGGCAGCTCAGGCGAAACTGAAGCTGGCTACGGATCTCGGGGCTTGTTGTTTGTGTCAGATGAAAGATGTGATTATCTATCAGCTCCGTCCGGATGCAGAAGCCAGAAAAGGGCAAGGGTGATCCGAGTTGCAGTTTTTCGGCAGTGCAGAAGATCTGCAATCGCCAGCTAGAGAGGCTCTGGAACCTGTATAAGTCCCAGGTGGCGGAGCTGAAGCGAGAGCGCCTGACGCTCCGGCTGGCATCTTCAAACTAGGCAAGTGATTCCACTGGAGGAAAAATACATCGAAGCCAGGATGTTCTGGACGCTTGTTCCACGTCAGGGCAGCCCCAACAGCGCTTCTCCTAGTTGGTTCCCGTCCCTAAACGGTGGGAACAGGACACGCGACCGCCAGCTGGAGACCACGGACCTATATTTCGGTGCCCCGAAGAGTACATAAACATAAGACTCCGAGTTTCGGGTCAAACTAGTGCCCACACAGGGGGAATCCACAAAACCCTTATGGGACCTACCCGGGAGTTTCCGAAAATAGGGGACCCTAATATAGTACCCTAAATAATAGGATCCTTATTATAAGGACCCCAAAAGAAGGTACCCCCAATTTTGGAAAACCCCCATCTATGAAGTCTTAAGAAAACCGTAAACCCTAAACCCTAAACCCTAAACCCAAAACCCTATAAACCCTAAACCCTTATGGGACCTATCTATGAAGTCTTAAGAAAGCCAGGGCCGGGAAGCCTTGGCAAGTCCTAAACTTTCCCGAGCCCCCTCGTTTCGACTTCTGGAGCAGCGCCACCACAGAGGCACGGTTTAGGGTTCGGGGTTTAGGGTTTAGGGTTTAGGGTTTAGGGTTCGGGGTTTAGGGTTTAGGGTTTAGGGTTTAGGGTTTAGGGTTCGGGGTTTAGGGGTCGGCATAAGCCTAGAACTTCCAGCTAAGTCAATACAGGGCTCGGAATCATTAGTAAATGATGTGCCGGGTCGTCCCTATACTTAGGGTTTGGGGTTTAGGGTTTAGGGTTTAGGGTTTAGGGTTTAGGGTTTAGGCCCTACACTACAACTTCGGCTCAGGATTACGGTGGACCACTCACAGGCTATGTCCAGCCGAAAGAGCAGCTGATAGGGAGCTTCATGATGAACGAGGCAAGGTCGTGGGCTACACCCCGGCTGTGTCGTAGTTGGGTAACGACATGTTTTATGGGTACTTGAACTCAGTTTAAATTATTGAAACTATCCCCACTCTCACGGTTTCTCGCAGCTTCATGATCATGAGAAGTTAAAGAGAAACCCCCGACCCTCTCTTCTGGTTCCTTGCCTGAGTCCTGTGAAGGACTCTTGAAGGTTACGAAGTGCAGGATTTAGAGTTCTAGAGCTCTAGCTGTCTTAGATAATTTCACTTCGGGCCGGAGAAGTACCGGTGAACATCAGCTGTAGCATGTACTTGAGTAATGAGAGTGTTCCTGAATAACATGGAAACTGTAGTGCGGCAGCGCAAGCTTGAATCCGACCCTGAAACACAACCAACCACGACAATTTAATCCGAGATTTTACGGATCACCTGTGGCGCCAAAGCCTACGAAAAGGGTAGGTGATGACCCCTTAATTACAGGGTATGACCCTGAAAACAGTTGGGGTCTGGGGACGTTAAGGGTCTAGGCATCATCGAAGGTCTTGCCGAAGGCCATCGATCACGGCCGCTCAAGTGACTTGATTGCAAGGCAGTCTTTCCATCGCCTAGAGGCTCCATATAGACTTGTTAGGGTTCCTTTATGGGTGCCTTGAAGGGTTCCCCTAAGGGTGCCCTTAAGAGTGACGATACGGGTTCTATGCTAAGGGGCTTTAACCAAGAGGCTCCATACATACCAACCCTGAAAGGAACCCTTTTATGTGTATTTGGGGGGGGGAGTTTTCGGTCTTTTGTCGTTGTCCATGTCTTGTCGTGACTCGGTCTAAATTCGCGTTCTGGGTCTACAGGTGCAGTCTATAGGCGTGCTTACCCATCACCCGCATCGCGCGATCCAAATTTCTAGAGTGGTATGCCAGAATCTCGTCTTGTCGTACTAAGTAGCCCTTAACCGTAAACTCTAAAACCAACTGTGAGGGTTATGCAGGATCGTTCCACTGCTGTCCTAGGGCTCTTGATCGCAAACACCTGCGGCTCCAGGTGTGGGATGCTTCTTCCCTGAACCCATGCAAGTGCCTATATGCTAGAAGATAGGGCTTC